GCCCCGTCCCCAGCCACTGGCACGAAACGGACCGTGTGCGGTGCGTCCCCAGCCGATGGCACGATACGGAACGTGTGCGGTGCGTCCCCAGCCCATGGCACGACACGGACCGTGTGCGGTGCGTCCCCAGCCCATGGCACGACACGGTCCGTGTGCGGTGCGTCCCCCAGCCCATGGCACGACACGGACCGTGTGCGGTGCGTCCCCAGCCGATGGCGGGTGGCCGTGTCGCCGACGAACGTCTCGTCCAGGTTTGGCAGGCACACTGGGATGATGTGCTCCTTGAACACGACGTCCTTGCTCAGCTTCACCAGCGACACGTCGTTCTCGAAGTGCGGACGGGTTGTACTTCGGGTGATCTGCGGGCAGCGATGGTCCGGTGATGGTCAAGGAGTCCTCAGCTAAGTGCCGTGGGTTCGAGCTTTTCAGGTCTGTACGTTTGCAGTCATGTTTCTCAACATACAACTGGCCGTAGCGTTAGTACAAACACGAGCAGTGCTGTTGCCTCACCACTTTCCGTTCCAGGGTGAAGTCCTCGTGAGGGTAGCGCTCCGAATACGCGCGACGTTGTACTCTCCCAGTCGTATCTTCATGCTGGACAGATCCGCTCTGTTGTGCACAATAGAAAACAAAGTCGTTACGGACCGGACGCACACAGGTCGTAAATATCAAGATGGACCGGAAATTGAGCTGGGAAGCTGAATCACTTTTCCTCGAGCTATTGCTATTGCTCCAAGCCACTCTTATTTAAGCCGTCTGAAGGTAAGTCCATATCTATTATCATACTACCGGATCGTCGACGTGCCTTAAACCGTGTGCAATAAGTTACGTGATGCAGGAATACGCGACTTTCCGTCTGAAAAGACGCGTCCAGCGCTTCAGTCGGTGGCAGACAATCAGATGGGAGCCACCAAAACATTCGGACAATGTTAGATGGATGTGAGCAGGACACCGCGTCGAGCGGGGTAGGAGCGGTTGGCCGAGACTGGTGACGCGTGGACGCGCGGGGTAGGAGCGGCTGGCCGTGACCGGTGAGACGCGGACGCACCGGTAGACGCAGTGGGCCGCCGTCACCACCCAGCGTTTGTTGACCAGCGCGCCGCCGCACGCGATGCGCTTGGAGAAGAAGGCCCTCCTTGATCAGGGCAGCCTGCACGTAGAGATAGGTCAGGTCGATGTCGACTGGCTACGCATCGGGCTCCAGCGGTAGACCCCGGCAGCCCACATGCGCGAGGTCGGGCATGTGCTGTATCTACTTCACGAAGTTGCCATGTATGAAACGTATGCAATATTCAGGTGGAGACATTCTGAGCTTTTCGCTTTCGCGTTCATTGCATATCGTTGCTATAAAACGTTTTGCTCCAGCACTCGAACGGAATAAAAAAGGTGTGAAAAAGCACTAAACGCAGCCATGTAGCACTAGAGAGAAACTCAGTATGTGAGATGTTCCTGATAATGTGTTCTGTCGATCAGCATGAGCCAATGACACTCAAAAGGCTCAAATAAGACGCACCGATGGATACGGCATTACAAAACTCAATTTTACAACACAGGTACTTGACCAAAGCCCGCGCATTGCAGTGCAGATCGATTGTGTAGGCCTCGCTATCATCATATATCGAGTGCGGGTATACCGAGTGCTACTGTATCGGCAGCAGTATCGTCTGAACGTTGCCACATCCCATTCATCTGATTGGTGCGCACGCCTAGTACTGAGTAGCGGGTGCAGTTTGCATGCGTCAGTGCTGCCATCTACTAGAAGAGCGGGGAGAGTGACTCGTGTTGTAACGTCCGCCAGAGGTCCCCAGTGAGGCTGTAGCGAGCCGATCGCATTTGGTCGCTAGAAACCCGGCGGTTAGCAGATCGTCAGCTGTTCGCCAGCACGTCACACTTGCGCCGGTCTCTGCCTTCAGCAGCATGCTGACGGTGCACCGGCTCTGGAAGACCGGGCCCAGCCACGCCGAGGGTGCCCCACCCACCTGCCAGGGGTGAGAGCCGAACGACGAGTCGTGTCCACCGACAATGCGATTGGTGGGGCTGTACACCTGGCCACACTCTGCAACGAGACAGTGTCTAGTGAGCACGACGCCGTACGGTACGGTTTGGCAAAGTGCGGCATGACGGGATCAGGTACGGCAGAACAGGATTAGGTGCATTATAATAGGATTAGACGCGAGTTTTAGGATGCGGGTACCATATTGTGAGGCACGTCAGGGCATGGCACAACACAGGACGGGACAGTAAGATACGACACATCCAGGTGCGGTCGATAAGGTACGGTAAGCCACGACGCCGCTCAGTACAACACGACAGTGTGCGCTGTATGTACAACCGGGTGCGGAACAAGACACGCTCTCGGGTCGGCCAACGGGGCCATGAGCACGACACCAGCTCACACACACACACATACACGAGTGATGAGTGTCGCCCTGGAGTGACCGTGGCGGTGTGAGAAGCGGGGTCGCTGTGTGGCGGGAGGCGTGGCCGGCCGCGGCGGCGGCGGCGCCGGCCGTGGGGCGGGCGTGCCACGTGCGGCCCTCTAGGCTACTCCGGCATGCGGTCTCGTGCGGCGGTGGGACGACAGGCGGCGCGACGTCGTCAGGCGACAGGCGCTCTTACTGGCTTCGGACGGTCTGGGGCCGGAGCCCGGATGGGGACGAGGCGGGCGGTGGCCGGCCGGCCGGACCGGCCCGTCAATAGCGTTACTGTCCGAGTCGGGGGCGAGGGCAGGGACCGGTGGGGAACCCCCCGCTGACCCCGCCGGCCGCTGCCCCGGGTACAGCTCCTGAATAATGACATACGGCCGCGTGTCGAACACGGGGCCGTAGCTGGGCACGTCGCCGCCGTGGCCGGTCACGTGATTGTGGGAGAGCGGGCCGGGCGGCCGCTGGTCCATGATCGGGATGATGGGCACGGGCGGCGGACGGGGCGTGCGGAACGGCCGGGCGGGCCGCGGCGGCCGTGTCGGCCGCCCGAAGCTGCCGCCGGGCCGCAGCGGCGAGCGCATAGTCGTGACCTGGCTGCTCAGCACCGAGCTGGCCGCCGAGAGGGTCCGAGCCCGCCCCAACCAGGTCCGAGTCTGTCGCAGTCGGGTCTGAGTGTGGGGGCGTCAGGTCTGGGCTGGAGGCCAGGGGGCCGTGTTGGAGGGGGGAGACTGTCGGGCTTGATGGCGAGTTTAGGGCAACAGATGTGTTCGAGAAGATGGCACCTGCAAAAAGGAGAACAGTGGAAGATAAGATCATGGGGATTGAGTCAGAAACATCTAGCCACATACTGTCTATAATCATCCATAAAGCCAAAGGCGTGGAAGCTCAATTCAAGCTCAAGGATACAGCATGCAGTGTATCTAGGTGGGGTAAAGAGAAACAAGAATGTTGATATGCAGCACAATGTCGTGTGTTGATATGCAACACAGTTTCGTGGCCAGCACGCATCAAAACGCTCATCATGTGACTAGGATGTTACTGAAAAGCGCATTTTCGCATGTTGTAATGTCCTGACGGATTATGTCTTCCACAGTAATTCTAACATATCTGCTGTGCGTTAGACTTTTTTAAAGCCCACGCCGTGTAGCACATGTGGATACCAGATCTCGATTTGTAAAGCGCTATTATCAAATCATATGAACATCACGCACTGGTGCATGGCTGCACACACCGTCTGTGACAAGCTGCAGACTACTCTCGAAGTAAGTGTCATCTTCACGTACGACATCTCCCATCAACGGATGGCTAACTCGGACCGGCCATCCCGTTCTGATTCCCAGTTCAATCCAGCCCCCAATCAGCGTACCAACATGCCGCGTGAACCGGCCTGGCAGCATCCCAGAGGCGGCCGGCGCGCGCCGCGGCCCGTGGCAGTGATTGGCCAACGGTCGGTCCCGTACCGGCCGCATGTGACGCGGCGCGCTCGGCGCGCTGTCACAAGAGCGCCACGGACGCCGCATTGTGCCTGATCACGCCGCGTGCCGAACACAATCGACAGCGCGCCAAGTTCGTACGGGCGGCGCCAGCCCGCGCGCGCCGTGACGGTGGCTCCAGTTGGCCGCATCAGCGGCGCGCCCGGACCGATTGAGGAAGAGCTTGCGCCCGCGTAACCGGGGCTCTTGCAACAGCGTGCTTTGTTCGAGGCCGCTCATGGACTGCGCTTTGAAATGCGGCGGCGTTGCTGACAGAAAACGACGGTCATTGATGCCGACACTGAACTGACAGCCGCGTTTTGGAATACATTTCGTTCTCTACGTTGTGTATGCGGCTATGCCAACCAATGTCATAGGGGTTTTGGCTTGACATCGTGGCTCAAAAAACCGACAGTCCGTGAAAGTGGTTTGGCATGAATACACGTGTTGCTGGGGCATCCATAGAGGAGAAGAGTCCCCCCACCCCCATAGAGTGGCATTCTCATCTTTGGTCGTAGATGGCTCCTGACAGAAGCTTAAAAATCAGCGTGATGCGTTTTTACTGAGCTCCAACCCTGCCTCCCACCTCCCTTCATTTCCTTAACCAATCCAGGCTGCACCCCTGACAGGCATCACAACTTTATGTTTGGTAGCTTCTATTCCTGTGGGTGGACCAGGATCACAAGTTCCGCCCGTTGCGCGGCTGTCCAAGAATACAGCCACGGAACGGGCTGCACGGACTGGAGTTTGGCGCAGCCCGTGCGCCAGTGGCCTTGCCCACAGACACGGAGCCCGGTCACGGCAGCGGGAAGAGACCAACAGGGTAGCAGCAGCTATCTTGGACAAGTCGTCATCGACCCGAACCCGGCGCCGGTGACGTTGGGCAGCTCCATCCCTCCGACCTCCCCATCCCTGAGCCCGTCCACTGACCGGAGGTCGGTGGCGGTGGGCTGCACTGTACCTCCGACCTCCCCATCCCTGACCGGAGTCGGTGACAGTGGGCTGCATTGTCCCTCCACTCCCCCGACCCCCAGGCCCGGCCACTGACCGGCGCCGGTGACGGTGGCCTCAGCCGCGTAGTCCTTGTCGGCCATTCGCGTGGCACGCAGCAGCTCCAGACCATGCCGCCGTCGCAGAGGTCCATGGCGCGCCTGCCTTGGAACACGCAGCTGACGCTGACGGCGCAGTCGTACTCGCTGCCCCTGTAACTGCACTTGCGCGGGATCACTGAAACAGGCGGGGCGCCGCGGCCCAGTCAGCCACGCCGGCCACGCCCCGGCGGCGGGGAAGGCTTGTTAGCAGGGGAGGGAGGGGGGGGGGGGGGGTGCTGGGAAGGTAGTTTCGTCAAGCGTCCAGGAAAGAATGGGCGATAGTTCTTTGCGGGCGATTGTGTGGTCGTCGTTAAGCAAGGGACAACGCGGAAGGGAAGAAAGAGAAGGGAGAGTGGCATCTCGCTATCACCCGCCATTGTTTAAACGTATGGTACGTCTAAATGACTTAATTGGTATGTACGTGTTGCTGCAGCAGAGGCCCTGCGTGACGTCACTTGTTCCGAGTCACACTAAAGCCAGGTAGCTAACAACCGCGGTCGCTAAGACAACCTACCTATACATGCGGCTCACATTTCAAAGCCGTGAATGTCCAGGTTGTGAATGTTGTGCTTTGGGTTTTTGTGGATACGGATGGTTTTTAACGCATCGGGCATAATGTTCCACAGAGAGTGTTTTTGGATCAAGGTCTTCTCTAAGTGTGTAGCTTGTGATGGAACCCTTTGACCCCATCTAACCCAAACAACCAATTTGAGATTAACGGGCAATTTTTGCGCGCAATGTTTTGACGTGTTACGTCATTTCGTAGTACTTTTAACCGCCACATGACATTGCCAATTACCTGTTTTCTGGGACCCTGACGTTTGTCATACACTCGCCATATTATGCTAACAACAAAATACAGGGACGCACAATCGCCATATTGTTGTTGGCTGTTGTCACGAGATCAGTACAGCCAACCTTCGCTTGGAGACCAAAATATACCCTTGTTTACTTCACAGAAATGGGCGTAAGCGCACTGCGTAACAGATACCAGTTGCGACACGGAGACCACCATAAAATACATTTTTCACGGAGACCGCAGAACATCAGTTTTCTCACAAGAGATGACCATAAACACGTAACAGAAATTAATGCAAACGCATCTCCCTAGGAAGGCTTATGATAGCTAGCTTCCTAACGCACACAACTAAACCTCTATTCACTAGCAAGACCGTGTGAACCCGTTTCCCCAACTGGAGTGCAGCATTACCCCATCTTCCCACGGGGACTAGTGTGAACCAGCTCCCATGCGGGGACCAGTATGCCGCCATTTACTCACGGAGACCCGTGTAAACCCATGGCTTCGCTGAGACCGGTGTGGACCCGCTAGCTTACTGGACCAGTGTCAACGTCTTTCTTCATGGGACCGGGGTAGGCCTATCTTCTCACAAGAGAACAAAACTACAGTGAATCCGTTTCTTCACGGAGAGTAATATATTGCTTCCCCGCGAAGACCAGAATAATCCTGTCTCGCAGAGACTATTGTAGCTTATTTTCCTGACGGACAGCGGCATGTGCCCAGCGCCTGACGATAGACCGGTTTGTACCCACTTCCGACGGATATCGGCACATCGCTACTTCCTGAGGGCGAGCGGTGTGAAGCCGTTACCTCACGGCCGGCGTTGCCCCACGGAGCCAGGCTCGGCAGCGTGAGCCGAGTCGCACCGGCTTACGTCACGGCTCGTGTGAAAGGGCGGCCGTCACGCGATCAGGCTTGCCAATGGCTGTGACGAGACGGAGCGGACCGGAGCGGACCGCCAGCGCCCTGCGGGGCCTCTGTCAACCCCATCAGCACCCCGCGAGGCCTCCATCAACTTCGTCAGCACCCCGCGGGGCCTCTGTCAACTTCGTCAGCACCCCGCGGGCCTCTGTCAACTTCGTCAGCACCCCCGTGAGGCCATCTGTCAACTTCTTCAGCACTCCGCGGGGCCTCTGTCAACCCCGTCAGCGCCCCGCGGGGCCTTCTGTCAACCCCGCCAGCACCCCGCGGGACCTCTGTCAACCCCGTCAGCACCCCGCGGGGCCTCTTTTAACCCCATCAACAACCCAGAGGGCCTCTGGCAGCCCCGTCAGCACCCTGAAGACCTCTGTCAGTCTCCAGAGGACCTCTGTCAGCACCTGGAGGGCAGGCAGCGGTCTCGTCGTTCAGGGGATGGCGGTCGGGCGAGGCAGGGAGAACTGAGGACCGGCACGTCCGGCTGGCTCAGCGCGGGCCGCATGCTCGGCTACCAATCTACCGACGGCGTGTGCTATGTAGCCGTGCCTTAAACCACCCGCCGCCAGCTCACTGGCTGCGGGTTATGGCGGAGTATTGGGTGTTAAGCGTTTACCGTCCCCAACTAGTAACACCGGCCACCTTTTAATGACACAGCAGTGGGATTATGTTTACATGCGCGTCTTAGGCTTGTTTGTTCGGATCTGTTCGTGCTTTTGGAAGGTCTTCACAGACAGAAGAATTGCTGTGTTTTAGCCAATGATATTGAGTGTCACCAGGATGCGAGCCAATCTTAAACAGAGGACTTGACTAGAGCATCTCCAAAAGGCCACGATAGGAGAAGCTTACCAAGATCGTTACAGCACTACGTTTGTACGCATACAGTGGAGTAAAAAATGACTCAGTAAATGCTTCCATGTCCAAACGTTTTAAGCAAATAAATTTGCATTAAGGCTTGACCAATCGCCTTCGATGTCAGTTTTGTCAAAACCAAGTCTCTGAAACAACTGGGGCACGGCGCACGGTCGGAGCGCAGGACGTAGCTCAGCTGCCGGGCTGCAGGGAAGGCACCGACACCAGCCCCGGCACCGAGTTAGTGGAGCGGCGCTGGCGCTGGGCGCGGGCGCTGGCGCGCCTGCGCCCGTCACGGCTTCGGGCTGGCCGGGCGCAGCGCCGTGGTCCGCGCCCGACGGCCGGCCGCGCCCAACGGTCCGCCTGCCCGGCGGCCGGGCGCCCGCAGCGCCACCTACCCGGCTGCCGGACGGTGTTGCGCGGAGGCGTCCTGCTCGTCGCGGTGGTCGTCGAAGATGAAGTGGTTGCTGGCGGGCCGGTGGTACCGCTGCGGCCGCGCCGGCCGGCCCGGCCGGTACAACGACCTCGGCGTACCGTAGCGGGGGCCGTGCTGCGGCGGTAGCTCGGGCCCGTACCCGACGCTCGGGCGCGGCCGGTACCCGGTCGCCCGTGCTCCCGGAACGGGTCGTACTGGTCCTGCTGCAGCGGCAGCCGGTACGGCCTGCCGTAGCCGGGCCGGATGGCGCGCCCGTGCGGGCCGTCCGCGTCGTCGAACTCGCGCTCGAACTCGTCGCGCTCGAACTCGTCGCGCTCGAAACCCGTCGCGCTCGGCCGAGAAGTCGTCAAAGTCGCGGCGCGCGCGGCAGACGGCGGCGCAGGACGAGCAGCAGCAGCAGCCAGCGGCGCGGCCCGGCCGTCGGCATGGCTGACAGTGGTGGTCCGGTGGCCTCGCTGGCAGGTCAGGCGCATGCCCGGCGGCGCGGCGGCACAGCGGACAAACCACGTGACGGTCGGCGCACGCGGCGCAGACTGAGGCGACTGGCGGCGGCGCGCACCGCTGTCGTTCCAGCTCAGAGGGCAGCACTTTCACTGGCCGGGCGCGCTCACGCGGCCCGCGCCGCCGCGCCGCTGCCAGCCGGCTTACGCAAATCACAGCGCCGCTTGGGAAATAGCGGCGTTGAACGTCGGAGCCGCGGCCCCCACGCGGCAGGGATGACTTCTCAAAGTGGAGAAGAAAACGGCCGCGGGCTGAGAACGGGGGTAGAGCGAAAGGCGGCTGGGGGGCGAGTAGAAAGCGCCATGTTCACATGCAGCCGTGCCTTCACGCTATTAAAGAATCGCGGAAGCAGAGTCTTGCGCGAATCATCATTAAACCATAATCCCGCAAGCATGCATCATTTCAGTGAGCAGTGCACATTTACATTGACGCGCATCTAGATGAGTTTCATTGGTTTCGATAACAATGACGACGAACGATGGAAATATGCATAGGCCATTTCTACTCAAACACATAAGTAAGCCACTTTCGCCTTGAGGGCCAAAAGACCTCATCAGCCACCCATTCTCACGGAGCTCTTATTTTCAAGTGTTTAGGGGCGAGTCGGCGCCATGGCTGTTCAGTGCGCTCTCTCAGGGAGGCGATGGGAGCTAGGTTTGCATATGCATGGGACTGGAAGATCACAAGCCCCAAGTCCTGGCAAGTCGTGCAATGTATGCGCTATGGAAAAAGACCTATGGCGTGTCATGTAGCGCTCGACGCAGGTGCATTACATCCACGCGCTGACTTACAGTGCGTTATATCTACGCGCGCGCGCTTAGAACGTAACACGAATGCCAGAAACGCGCGATCTCGGACAAGAGCACGCACGGCTAGCTTATTGGCACCACCTGCTCTTCCCACTCTCATCCCAATCACGCATTATCAACGGCTCTCCTCTCTTCCTTTCCCACCATCTTAACGTCTCCCATACTTTCAACAGCCGCAAGCCACTGCTCAGCCCCACGAGGCTCACACAGCAGCCGGTGCAGCTGCCTAGGAACACAACGATATGCTTGTCACCGGAGTCGTGCTGCCTGGGGCTTGCGTCACACCATTTTATTCGCCTGTGACGTAACGCGGCGTGATAAGGCGCAACCGGGACTTTGAGGTACAGCACGCTTTTGACCCCGAATAGGTCGCAAACGTGGCGTAATTCGACTAGCTTGGACCGACAACCACACCTAACAAAAGCCTTACACCGGTTACGTTTCAGACGAAATTTCCCCATAGCGCTGATATTCAGGGTTGCTCAAATGACTAGTGAACAACACGGCTCCGCCTGCCAGCGACAAGTTTTCACGACTCACTCGCGTCAGCCAACAAATCGGGTGCTTTGAATGTCGCATGCTGCGCATGGTCTGGTTATGCGCTGCCCTGGTTTTGTTTTCTCTCGCAACGAAGAAGTTGTGCTTACGCAACGAAGCTAGACATGCAAGAATGCTTACAGAAGGCAGAAAACAGGCCTGACATCTCGTAACAGAAGATGTACTCCTGAACTCCGAAGAAGGCTGAGAAATCAACCATTTGCAAGCTTCCATTGGAGGTAATGTGCTTAGCCTTTCATTCGTCCCGGTTAACACGAAATAGAAACAGCTCTATCGAACTCTCTGTCCAGATTCCTTGCATGAATTTCGGAAGCAGCATGACTCGAGATTAGCACCGGCAATTGGTAATAATTGGGACGCTGTCAGAAATTTGATGGGACCAGAGATTGATGTCCAACGCATGGTTTCCTGTCAAGCTACGTTGGTCTTCCGGTCTTCCTCAACGTCAAGCTACGTCGGTCTTCGTTGGTCTATCAAGCTTGGATCTTCCGGGCTTCCGTATGGACTACGCTGAAGCCAGCATATTTCAAATTATCGCAGTGTAAGCGTCCAGGTGGATTGCAAAACGAAGGCAATTTCGTAAACCATGCTATTTCGCAGCTTTTCACGTAGTAAGAGCTTCAAAATATGTGTGACAGACTACGGATTCCCTGCAATGACCAACAAGAACGATATTTGTCCTCGACCCGATGTGATCTCGACTGGCCAATCAGCTGCTGATTCAAATGCGTATGACATCGTTGATAGAGCTTTGTCCCTGAAATGAATTTGAGAAGGTATCAGAAAATATGACTTCCGGAACATAACATGATTTCAATAGCTGCCACCATACACGCAAACTACACAAATTCTCAGCTCCAATCAGGGTCCTCGTTTGACGTTTAAAATGGCATGAGGCCTGTGGTGAATATCAGATATTTTAAATTCGAACATGTTCTAGACGCCCCGTTCCGAGGATGTATCGCAGAGGTTCATCCCATTGTCAAATCAAGTGCTGCTCTTCACAGCCCGGTGCTCTTCTACCCACCTTGGAAGCCGACAAAATACCCGCGTTTACGAGCACAGCCACATCTTTCATTCCGCGCTATTCTCCTGACACGTTCACATGATGATGGTAGAACTAAGGAAGCTCGCTTTGATGCGTGACATTGACTTTTGTATCAACTCTTTCAGCAAAGCGAGGCCGTTCGGGGCTCGTATCCATGTAGCCAGCATCACCGTTGAGCTTACTCGGCACCGCTCGTAGAACAGCAGTCCTGTTTTGGAAGCTGAAGATACGGCCACGGCCTCGACCATTGTGCATGTTGTGGGTCGAGGCCAGTGGGCGTCCGAAGCACGGACCCCTCGCCGTTCACTGGCCTCCCCTCCGCGTGGCCGCACCAAAACACACTTTGTCCCTCTGCCGGGAGCGTGCACGCATGTCGCGTGACCCCCTCGCCGCTCCAGCGACCTCTTTCATGTGCAAATCGGCAACGGCTGCCCGACAGGGGCGCTGATATGGCCACTGCACGGTCCAGCGCCGCCGAAAGCGTGCCACGCGGACGGCGGCGGCCACCTCCTGGCCGGCCGTGACCCCGACGCCTCCGGGCATGTGGCAACCGCCGGACGGATGGCTGACCCCTGACCTCCAGGCGGCAGCACGCCAGACCGGCGCTCGGGTCAGCCAGCGCGTGGCGTTTGTTCTGCGTGGCGCGCGTGCCGGCATGTCCGCGTGGTCCACGCCATTGCCGCAGGATGCGCCGACTACGGCGCTGTAGCGACGGCTCCGCCGCAGCATCGGGACACATTGTGTATGGCATTGTTGTCCTCTAGCATTGTCGACAACGGGCCGGAGGGTATTTTTCTGCTGATAATTGTCCTGTTGTGACGCCGGTTCCGGAGTGAGCGGGTTGCTACTTCCCTATGGTGAGCATTACGACCACGCTATGGTCGGCGGACCAGCTACACTTCACCGGCTCGTAATCAACCGGGCAGGCGGTTGCGACAGCACTGTGCCCCGTGTTCCTGATGTGTGACGGACAAGGTGAGCACACTGTCAGCAGATTACAGCCGCCGGGCCAGCGCAACCAAGCCAGAACTAACGGTTACCGTGAGTGATCGGCCGATCCCGTGTGAGCTATCGTCACTGGGTTCCCGTCAGCGTGCCAGGAAACGGGGTTAGAGCATTGCACAATATGAGGACGAGCGGACTAAATTCAGTGGGAGACGGAAGGATTGTTCAGGTATGTAGTCAAGACATCCATAAGAGCACTGTCACGATGCAGTAAAGCAGTTTTAGATATTCGAAGTGTTCTCTCAACGGGTCAAATGCAGAATATCAACAAGATTGACGTGAAAAACAGCTATGTAAAAAGAGGTAGATACAGAAAGTACAAGAACATAAATACTCAGCACCAAACTTTGCAGCAGGTATAAAAATACAATGACCAAATTTGAGCCACACAGCTGTTGAAGAAACCCGTATGAGCACAGCATGCGGCAGCTCACCGAGCAGGCCTTGTCAGAGAGCCGAGAGTCGCCAGACGGGCCGACGAAGGACAGCAGAGTGCAGAGTGCAGAGTGCAGAGTGCAGGAGTTACTCACCGAGCGGCGCCGGCGTCAGGAAGTCGAAGATGCCGCGCAGGTGCTGCGGGCTGTAGGTGTCGTGTGGCTCGGCAGAGTTCCACGCGTGCTCGGGCTGGTAGATGAGCGTGTCACGTGGCGGCGTCAGCACCTGGTTTAGCTTGATGAGCCGCATGAGTTGCAGCTCGTCCAGCGTGTTGACGTCCTCTATCGTCTCCAGCATCAGCTGGGTGTAGTTGGGCCCTGCCGGCGTGGCGGCTAGCGACAGAGTGACAGAGGCTAGAAGGCGTCGCTACTGATGACGTGCAAGACAGGGTGACAGCTAGCCGGACACTGCCGGAGGATGAGGGTGTGGTATACATGACAGGATGACAGCGAGCGGGACAATGCCGGAAGGTGAGGGTGTGGTATGCATGCGCATGCACACTGACAGAGGCCCGTTGGTGAACAACAAGACGCGAAGTACACAGGACTGACGTGCATCGGACGTGAAGTACACTGGACTGACGTGCATCGGACGCGTGACGTGTCGGTCATCGAACTCAGAGCACTACCGGCTTTCAGATCCGTAGAATCAGCTAACTGTTGAACCAACCGATTTTAAGACTCAGTAGAACCGTAGCCGTTCGTTCGATGGTCAGCATAAGCTCGTGTCGAGCCGTTAGTAGGTGGGTGGCGGGCCCAGGATGCATGGTCGACAGCATTTATATTTTTCCGCTCAGTTTCGGTCTTGGTATCAGCTTTTTTATTTCGGCCTCGGTTTTGGTTTTGATGGTTCATATAGCTATATGAGTTTTTACGAGAAGAAAACGCCTGACCACTTCCTGTGTGAAACGCCTTTATGGAAACGTTTAGGAAAAATGACACGATCATTTTCTTTTCTGAAACATGTTCACACTATGTTTTTTAATGAATGCGTCATCACTTTAATGACATTCTACGCTCCGGGGACTTGCCTGAGTTAGGAACACCTTGATACATACATGTCTCCGCTCGAAACTCTCGAGAACAAGGCATGAAGCAACACAATCTACTGTAACATTTTGAAACGCTTTTAACTACTTTACCGACTGTTCTGACAACGGTTTTTGATTCAATTTGTGTGCCTCCTGCGAGCATCATTTTATTCTGCCGATGATCTGATCGACAACTTGTCCCCTGACCATGCCAATATACAACCTGGGATTGCCCAGCCGCATCTGGGACGATCTGCTGACAACCAATGGCTAAAAGGAAGTTATGGCATACAGCATGGCCCATCTCGTTCTCTTGCTTTGCCGGATATTTCCTAGCACAAGAACGACGACACCATGCTGAAGCTCACCATCCGGCTTCATACTGCGGTCAATGAGAAAACAGCTGAGCTCTCGGCAATATCAGACAGCTGAGTTGATACGATGTTTCTGATAATTTGAGACCAGTTCAGCTACTAAGAATCTGCGCGTGACGCGGGACCAGCTAAATGTCATGACCAGCACCCGCAGCGGTTCGGATGACGTGAGACCATGGCCGGACTCTAGGTGATGTGGGACCATGGCGGAGCTTCGGTAGTATGAGACCATGACCAGCAAGTGGAACCATGGCTGGACGTCGGACGATTCGGGACCGCGATCAGACCCCGGGTGACGCGGGACCGCGTGCGGACCTCGGGTGATGCGGGACCACGACCAGATCCCGGGCGACGCGGGACCACGTGCAGACCCCGGGTGATGCGGGACCACGACCAGACCCCGGGTGACGCGGGACCACGTGCGGACCAGCCTCGGCGCGCCGTCCCGCCGTCGGCCGCGGTCTGCCTATGCCCACGCGTCACGTGACGCTCGGTTGCCGTCGTCACAGCGGACCGCGCCGCGCTCCCGTTACGTAGATAACGGACGCGCGCCGTGCCGCCCGGCCGGCCGTCAGCTCACCGCTGGGGTCACACGGCAGTGTTGCACGCAGTGTGCAGCGCCCGGCCGGCTCCGCGCCAGGCCACGTGGCGTCAGGCGTACCGTCAGTCTGCAGTACCTACTCCGCTGCATGAGCGTGGAGGGGGAGGGGGCGCAACGCACGAGCGGCTGTCAGGTGTACCGTCAGTCTGTAATATCTACTCCGCTGCATTAGCGGGGAGGGGAAGGGGCGCATCGTACGAGCGCTGTGTTAGCAAATTTAAGTGGCGGTACAAGCGGACAGTTAGTGTTTTGAAAGGGTATAATGTGGCGAAAAATTAAGGCAGTTTTCAGCGGCGTGAGCAATGCAGCCATGAAAGAGCACGACGCCAACGTTTCAGAGTATGTCACCTGTTTGTTATTGTCACCTGCCGTTCGGTCACACGCGCTTAATATGGTCGGTAAAATCAGTTGTCCCTAGATGCTTCCGAACAGTTCAGAACATCTATTTGAATTAGATGCTCCGACGGACGCAATCACATTGGACTCCTTGGTTACCAGTATGGAAGCAATACTTCCCATTTTTCCACATTTTCATCGTGTGTGTTCACTGCTGTCTAATATTCGCAATACGCTAAATGACAAAACGTTGAAACGTGGTACAAAAGCCTCAAACGCCCTATTTCAGGAAAGGATTTACAATATGCGTCATGTTCAGATAACTAAAAAATGCCTACGATACAGCGATATGCAGGGGTAGGCGTGCAGGGGAGAAGTGCAGTTTGAACGGGCTTCATTCAGGGGGAGAGACGGGCCAATCACCAGGCACACCGAATAAATGGACGGATGCTCCTTATAGCGAGACATGTCACTGACCGCCGATCGGGCTCCCACGCGACGCCACGCTCCATCACTGCAATGCTACGTCGGCAGACAGTCTAGCCTGCAATCCCCGTCACCCTTACTGCTGCTGTAGGGCGTTGTGTCCCGCCAAAAAGACGAGTGTTTCGCGATTATTTGCACGCAGAATCGCAATTCAACCGCAGCTGAATTCAGCAGGACAGCTCGTCTACTACAAATAAGACTTACATGCTGCACTTCTTTTATAAATGCAACTGAAAAGTTGTAAATCCTTCCTTTCTTTGCCTAAAGCTAGATTATATGAACAAAAGTAGAAAGTGAGAAAAAATTCCCGGATTCCAACTGCCACGCACTGGATATTGTGACAATGGGGGCATCAGCTTGAGGGGCCCTTGGAGGAGGCAGTGGCAGATGCACCACACAATGGCCCCGGCTGTCCCGCTTGTGAGCGCAGCCCAACGAAGCCGACAGGAAATGGGGTGAAAACTCGGCGAGCCCCACCGCCGGCGAATTCGGACGTGATCTGATGCGATGAGCGGCCGGCCTGCAGCTGAAGCCGCAGCGGAAACGTCGGGTGGGTGGCGGAGCACATCCGTGTCACACGCGTGCTGTTCCCCGCCGGGTGGCGGCTTGGTTCCGCTTCCCTTCTGTGCGAGGCGTTAACCCATTGTTGAGTGCTGCACGCCGTCTTCTCGAGGGAGGCTGTCGCAGGTCTCGGCAGAGTGCACTGCTTGCAGCTCAGCGCTTGCTACCACCAGCCGACGCCACCAGCGGCAGATTGCAAAGCTAAAACCGTCCTAGCAACTCATGACCGCAATAATTGCGTGGTTACTAGCGACAAAAGCTGCGGCGCATCCGCCTAACAAAATCACGCCGCGAAAGCGAGCCATTTATCGTCTGGTGCGCTCTAAATATACGCGTACGCAGCTCGCACCGGCTCACTGCGGCCAGCTCTCTCTCTCTCTCTCGACGAGTGTGCGCCTTTTGTCACCGCGCAGGCTCATTAGCCGCGACAGGCTTCAAGTCACAGTGCGTGTGTGCACTGTGAACACCAGCCCAGCAGCGTCGGCCTGACCGGACCGCGCCGGGACAGCGCCGCGCGCGCGGAGAGAATAGACGCTGACTGATTGTGTGTGTGGAGGCGGCCGTGAAACGGCACTTCCCTGTCACGCAGACCGCGACGGCCGCACCCGGCCGCACGCGCTCGCCGGCCCGTTGCGCCGCCCACGCCAAACACCGACCTGCCTTGAAATGCTCGGTCGGCCGGGCGGTAAGCCGTGCCGGCGGCGCTTGTCCGGTCCGTTGGCTAGGTTTCGCAAGTCTTGAAACCAGGCCTAGCGCGCCCGTCCCGAGCCAGAGCGGCGGTATGGCCAGGGCGTCGGCATCCGACCCTCTTGTCCTCTGTCCTGCTTTATCCTGCATCCTCGCGACACTCACTTGTCCGGGGCAGGCCCCATACGTCAGCCACGAGGGGGCTGAGAGGTCCCGTGGGAAGGGGGACCCCGACCGGGTACCCGGCGCACATGCGTGGGTTAAAGCTCGGCGGTTGGCCCCCCCAGGCGCATGCAAGCCTGCCCCACTGCTAACCATTTGCATTCCTCCCATAGTCCTTAAGTGATCATTTCTGGTCGAAAGGGCTCTATTCCAAACAACCAAGCGTGGGCAGCCACGGAGGGTGCTGCCTTCGCGACAACAGCTGTCCTTCGATTGTTGGAAAAACGCGGGAAATATTCAATAATATGTCAAGAATATCAGCATCAAAGTATCAAACAAACATCAGACAGCAGCAGTGGCAATATAAAGCATATTGTAGGATCGAGACAATGTAGCTTCGATTTAAATAGGCGTGTATGCGTCGCATTTGATCGCCCACACCCGTTGATTTAGCCGCCAAGCAATACTAAGTAAAACTAACAAAAAAGGAATAAAACACAATCCTTTCGAGGAACTCTGAATAAGTGAGCCAAAAATGCCTTCCATGACCTAAACAGACCAACCGAACGTGCCTGTGGCAAGCGAGCAGCGTGATCGCAGCAGAGCGGAGTTGCGCACTGCGCGAAAGTGGAATGCATGAAGTTAATTATGAACCACCTCATATTGTCAGCCTCAGGACGACATTTTAAAGTATGATGCTCAGCAAAGTCGTATCAGGATCCATTCTGTTATAGACTTCAGCAAAGACAAGCCATTGGGTTAGCAGTGAGTGTGACTGTTTTTTTCGTGGTGCAGTGCGCAATAGTTTGGGTTCGGCATGGCCGCCAAATGGTTTGACTGTTGTAGGATTAGTGATATGTGACAGGAATACGCAAACATGTATTTGATATAACGAGCTCAATAAAAACATTTAAAACACAAAAAAACGTGCGCAAAGCTCTTCAAAATGGCTATTCTATGCTTTGTTCAAAAATAATGACGCCACGGTTGTGCCGCAAAATGAACACAAGGTGACGGATCCTGTTGCTAAGTTTACTAGGCAGTGTACGTAATATGTATATGGGTAGAACATGCTGATAAGTATTACATAGTATGCATATGCAAGTTGTAGATTATTTCATGTTATGTCTTATTTTCATATTATAGGTTTTACGATGTTATATATATATATATATATAATATATATATATATATATATATATATATATATAATAGGTGATGGTCAAGGAGGGAGGCGATGGAAAGCACACATTTCAGGAAAGGCATGGCTCTAGCGGCTACGGGTCTTTAACAAGTAATATTGCCCGCACTTCAATACATCGACCTAGCCCGATGGGTGACACGCGCACTCCCAGTGAGTCCCCCTGAGCAATCTGCTGAGGCGGCCGGCGGCTATCACTGACCTGCTATGGTGCGCGCCACATCGAAAAAGTTAAGGCCGCGTCCGACCGTGCGGCCCCGGCTGACGGCGTCCTCGATCTGTCGCTGCTTCTTCAGCAGGTTCTCCAGCCTGCTGTTGAGGCTGCCGAGGTCGGCCCGCGAGGCCACAGCCAGCCAGCAGGCGAGCAGCAGCAGCGCGGCCGGGGAGCGCCAGCGCCACCGCATCGTCGGCACGAGCAGCAGCGTCAGTCTGCGGCAGGACAGAGACGACTGGTCAGGGTCAGTCTGCGGTAGGACAGAGACGACTGGTCGGAGTCAGTCTGCGGCAGGACAGAGACGACTGGTCAGAGTCAGTCTGCGGTAGGACAGAGACGACTGGTCAGAGTCAGTCTGCGGCAGGACAGAGACGACTGGTCAGAGTCAGTCTGCGGCAGGACAGAGGACGAACCGGTCACAGTCAGTCTGCGGTAGGACAGAGGACGACCGGTCAGAGTCAGTATGCGGTAGGACAGAGGACGACCGGTCAGAGTCAGTCTGCGGCAGGGCAGGGGACGACCGGTCAGAGTCAGTCTGCGGCAGGGCAGAGGACGACCGGTCAAGTCAGTATGCAGTAGGGACAGAGGACGACCGGTCAGAGTCAGTCTGCGGCAGGGCAGAGACGACCGGTCAGAGTCAGTATGCAGTAGGACAGAGGACGACCGGTCAAAGTCAGTCCTGCGGCAGGGCAGAGGACGACCGGCCAGAGTCAGTAATGCGGTAGGACAGAGGACGACCGGTCAGAGTCCAGTCTGCGGCAGGGGCAGAGGACGACCGGTCAGAGTCAGTCTGCGCAGGACAGAGGACGACCGGTCAGAGTCAGTATGCGGTAGGACAGAGTACGACAGGTCAGAGTCAGTCTGCGGCATGGCAGGGGACGACCGTCAGAGTCAGTCTGTGCTAGGACAGAGGATGACCGGTCGGAGTCAGTATGCGGTAGGACAGAGGACGACCGTCAGAGTCAGTCTGCGGCAGGGCAGAGGACGACCGGTACTCAGTCTTCGCGGCGCAGGTCGGCTGCCTCGCTGCTGGCTTGCGACGGGCCGAGGGGCGTATGCGGTGCGCAGGGGACACTTCCCTGGCCTTATGTGGGATGATGACATCGATGCCACCAATTGTGGCTCCTCTTTTGCGGGATGTTTATTTGGGAGCAGGTCGACTGTGGTGTTCAGATTAGCTATTCCTCGATGGTGTTTGACTTATATGGTTCTCCGTTTCGAGTCGTAACTTTGTATGATTATCACGTCCTGAACGCGTCATTGCTATGATGGTCTAGGTTATACTGTGTTTATGTTTGTGAATATGATGACAAGGGATCAACGCTGGGATGAAGACGATCAAGGCTCATAACTATGTTCTCCTCAGCTATGGTCATTCGTGACTATGCTTTTACCGCTGTCATTGCCATGCTTATTTCAGCAAGATCTCAAGCCGGCCTCCCATTTCCAAATTTTTGATCGGAGTAACACTCACAAATGCACTGCAACGCAGTCTTCACTCCGAAGTACAGGCCCAAGCACAGCACAGTTCAGATCGGCTTCCACGCGGCGTGTGGCCGGAGTGGTCAGCACGCGTCTCCCTCACTCTCACACACCACCAGCAGCAGCAGGACAGACTACCACAAGACGCTCCTTCCGCGGCGGCCAGCCAGCACCACTGCAGCCGCCTCGGCGTCCACCCCTGCACCGGACGCCCCGGGCAGCCACACCACAGACGCGTCCGGGCCGTTGTCGCCGTTTTCCGCAACGCCGCCCGGCAACGGAGCGTAGCGCCCGCTGAAAAGACGAACGCGTCCGGTGGCCACTGGGCTCCTGTGACGTCACGGGTCAACCGGCCAGCGTCGTACCTCTTTGTCGCGTCACCTTGACATCCGACGGAAAGGGGTTCAGCAGGCGGCGACGGCACACATCCGGCTCGGTCTGCGACCTTCACTGCTGGCCCACATTGGCAACGGAGCATGGCTCGGCGGACAGCGGCTCTGAAGAGATGGAGCGTGTCGCGGTGGACAGGAGCTCCGCAGACGGAGCGTGTCGCGGTGGACAGGGCTCCGAGACGAGCGTGTCGCGGTGGACAGGAGCTCCGCAGACGGAGCGTGTCGCGGTGGACAGAAGCTCCGGGAAGAGGGAGCGTGTCGCGGTGGACACAGGGGCTCCGGAGATGTAGCGCGTCTTGATGGATGGCGGGCTTGGGAGACTGAGTGTGTCTCGGTTGGCAAGGTTCGGCAGAGACTGAGCGTGTTTTGTAGTTTCTGGAGTGTCCCTATGTAGACACAGGTTCCAGTAAAATAGAGTGCGTTTCGTTAGCACTGACTCCAGTCGGCTCCTGATCTGGCCAGAGGTATGTATCAGGCGAGCTTCCTCGACTGATCTCACACGAGCAACACACGCCATTTTGGAGCCGCCAACCATCAGGGGATGCACCTCCGCGTTTCCATCCAGTTAGCGCACGGAGACTCAGGTGGCCTTCGATAAATGCAGGATGACAGAATTTACGTGAGATCAGGTGATACGTCATATGTCAGCTGGTATGTCTTCGGTGTCGTTCCATTGGCGTATACCCGCGGCAGTATGCTAGGATGCTCGTCGTTTGGAGACGTATTTCATGCCGTTAGTTTGTTTGCAAGAGAAACGGCTCGAGTATGTTTTAAAGCATGTCATGGGCTGCGTTCGTTCTGTCGTCATCACGTTTGTCAGCTGGAATGCGTGACGTCATGCGTGCTGACGAGGCGTTCGATGTATGGGTTGAGGGGCAAGTTTGTTAATTTTGCTTTTCCATCTACCTTCACCTTTACTTCAGACCACACATAACTCTGGTATACTGCCGACCATGACCGCACCGCCTGTAAAGTGATGTTTGGAAGCGTGGATTCTGTTCCGGTATTAATATCATCTATCCCACCCGTATGTTGAGTGCCTCTTCCCATTTCCAACTTATTTCATTTTCCCCTCTCGTTATAAGTGCCTTCTTATAACGCTATTAATTTACTGGGAACGCAATCACACACCACATCGATCACTGTCACTCACCGTTTTACTGGCTACTCTTGGCAGTTCAGTTCTCTCCTTATCTCTCTTACGAGGCACTTCCCCCCAAACTAGAGAAGTGCCCCGACCCCACCTAACGTACTCGACAATGCAAGAGCTACCAAATGAAACTCCCGCGTTCTTTTTCAGAATGATGCTTAATTGGTCGCGCTTTTCTCTCCATGCTGACCGGCTGACAAAATGTCTTGGCATTATCGTAGCTGGTGCGTGACGTCACATACCTCGTGACCTTGTGATAACGTGATGTGATGTGGGGGGCGAATACCGGGTTGTGATTGTTGCTGACAAACATGCTGATGACGGATCAAACACGGCCATAAGTTGAAATACTGAATCATTGGCTTCCACGATGGCGTTCTTATCACGCTTCAATACCACAGTCCGTTTTTTTTCGCATCTCATCATTTGAAGCTTCTGTATCACAGTTGTCTCAGAGCGAACCCAGCATCCTCAAAGGTTTCTGCGCGGCACGACGTAAATTCTGCGTGAAATCCTTTAAAATGTATGCCGTTCGGCTTTCATCAAAAAGCCAAAAACAAGCTAGACGGCGCAAATTTCATGACGCCATGTGGACCTAATAACATACGGGTTTACACCACACTAGTGCTGTAACAAAAAAGCTCTGCAGACACTGAGTGCTACGCCATTATTTGTACTGCCAATACTGATACAGGGCATTAGTGCTACGCGACAAAAGATATGCCGCAAAACTTATGCTCAGTTATTACTTCTACCGCAAAGCACTTATACAGTCATTAGTTATGCAGGAAATTATTTCACCGCAAAAAGTTATGCGTGGTATTAGTGGTACACGACAAAACTTGTGCTTCAAAAAATGTATACTCGTCATTACTTCTACTGCACTACATATAATTATTACTTATCCATGGTTTACTTCAACAGTAAAGACGTGTACGCAACAGTAGTGCTACACGACAAAATTGTACTTAAAAATGTATAAAGTATTATTTTGATGTGTATATAATTGTAGCCTATACCCCCGTCATGGCATCCACCTTTAAAAATTTGTACAGCAATTGTTTTATACACGCATTACTTTTGCTGCGAAGACTTATACGCACCATTAGTGCCACAGTAATGACCTTGGTAAAGTTTTTGCTGCAGAGGTGGTGACTGGTATATGCTTTTTCCGGATAACTTTGTCGAGTAGCATTTTTGTAATGAGTTTTTGCAGTAGAAGTGATCTGTATAATTATAGACTACTTTCTTTTCTGTATAAGTAAAGACGAGTGAAGGGTTTTACAGTATAAGTTTTGTCGAATAACATTCATGTCGTGCATGAGATATTGCAACAAAACTAACGCGCGTACGAGTAAATACTATATTAGTCTTTGCAGCAGACGTAATGACGCGTATCAGTTTTTGAAGCTACATTTTGGTCGTGTAGTTCTCATGTTTTGGTGTGGGCGTCTTTGCAGAAGAAGCTATAATGCTTGAAGGATAAGTCTGCATAATTTGCTGTAGTAGGAGTAATGTCGGCGTATAAGTGATGTCGTGTGCACTCCTGTCCGTGGGAGCTTTTGCCATAGAACTAATGCCATGATCTGTTCTATGGCCTTGGCCATGACGCTGCCGTACGGACCAATCGAACGCATCCGGCGGGCGACCAGTGACTGCGCGGGGACGATAGAACCATAGCAACTCGGCCGGTGGGTAGGCGACATCTATGTAACGTAATGGCAAGCTGTGGTTTGGCCCGGAGCATTTTCTATGATAGGTGACCTGGTTTTGTACCTGTGACACCTGCGAAGAATACTACCAAAGGGAAGCGAGTTGGCCTGCATCGAGTCAGGAAATGGAAAGCGCGTCTCAGTTTAAGGCTTGTGCTGCTTACTGCTGAGATGATGGTGTTAGGAGCAACACAAAACACGATCGCTCGAACCAAATTTACATCAGTTTAACTAGCCGCGGGAAAGATATGTGCAAATTCCGCTCACCAGTCTTTTCTTGGAATCCGGATTGCGTGTGATCGTAAGTTAAAAACAAGGATTTACTTAGACCCGCCTGTCATCGAGCGGCCACCTCGGCAGACATGGCGCCTGCAAGGTCAACGCTTCACACAGGCGATCATGCCCAAACTGACCAAGATGAGCACGTGCAGCTACTACTCTTCAGGCGACCAAGCGGCAGGTAAAATTTCATATTCGAC